GGCATAGTCCCACTACTGATTACCGAAAACGAAATTCAGGAGATGTTACTGTTTGTATGAGAAGAAACAATGCAGTTGAAGTCTTCAGTGTTTTCCATACAGTGTGACAGAGACCCTTAAAGTGTAAAACTAGAAAACGCAGTAGACCCTACTCCTAAACCACTACCCGCTACATTAGCGTCGCAGTGAGTGTGACTACAATGGCTAGCTGCTTTTGTTTTCATGCATATGTTTGTAAGTAGCCTTATATATTTTAGTAACACGTTACACGTGCAAAATAGAAATAGTAACAATTTCCAAACAGAAAAATACGGGAGTTTGTAAACGAAACTGGATAAAAACGAAAATGGATATACACGAAACACCACATATATTGATGGTATCTCGATCGTTTATCTATCAATACAGACAGATCGATAATTAAGACGGATATTTAACATGATGTGGCTCTCAAATAGTACAAAAACGAAACAACATTATGTGCACACACATTTGAAAAATGAAAAAAGCTCTAAAAGTTGTAAATCATATGCATATTATAACACAAACAAAGAAGTAACTAAGTGTCAACAAATAATTGGTATAAGGACAGCATATGAGCAAGGGAAATATGTATATGTAGCTAGGTGTTTGAAGAAAGGGGTACAACGAGAAAATGACAAGGTGTTCCGGAAGGGTTAGCGTCTTCTGCCTCATCGACGACACACGCTATGTAAATCTATGTAAATCTATTTAAATTCAAACAATGGCAGGCCCTCAGGTGGAGAAACGGGGCAGTGATCACCAAACAAAATACACTGATAAGCAAAATTGAAACATCGATCTTTATATCACACAGGAAAACATGTTTAAATGATGGCGACCATAAAGTTTGTATATCGTCTTCCTCAACCTGCACATCTCTTAGAATCGTGTGTCCTAAGTTTTTCCGTCAGCAGTCGACATCTGTCACGGACATCGTGATGTTCATGGAAAGCCCTTGTATTCACTGCGACATGTAAACACCGTAGGTCCGGGAGGTAGGTGTGTTTCTCTTATTGCACCGCTTTGCAATAAAGCTGTCCATTTTGATCATATTGTAAATACAGATAATACATTTTGGTGTTTAGTATATTTGACCGTTTAATATTTCATTTCACCAGGTAACATATATAGTTACATTTTTGTAAAACTAAAGAAGCATAATGCACAATTATCAATATCAGTAAGGTATTCTTCTTAATAATTAACTAAATGTAGGAAACATATAATGTTATTGTCTGACTTGATGTACTAAACCCAAATTCCGACCAATCTGTTCACCCAACACTTTCAAATAAGCAGTCGGTTTTAGTATGATTTCACATAACTGCACGTTTTGCCTTCTTTGTCAAACTGTTTTTCATTCCTACTTTGAAGTAGCAAGGTTCTACATAAAAGTTTTCCGCCCAACGTAGAATATAAAGTGGGAAATTATTTCTATGAATATGAGTTTTAAGAAGAGCAATATTAACGCCCTGATGAACCTTCGACTTCGAACCTGATAAACTTAGAAATGAACTCACAAAATAAAAAATGAATCATGCTAAACTTAGAGTAGAAAGTTTTAATCAACGGTAAGATTTCCATTTTATTCACTTGAGACTTTTTGTGTTAAACAATTCTTAACTCGAAGTGGATAATTTTAGTAGAAAATAGGTCATGGTCCGCTGGGTCAAATACTCTACTTAAGTATACGTATCCGAGGCTAATCAATCGTTAGTTGTTATATAAGTGAATTGCGATACTTTTAAAATGATTTTTATAACGCTTGTAACAATGATTTTTCTCTTTACGTTCATAAAGCGGGATAACTCGTGTACGCTAAGATTCTTGAATATTATGACTTGGGAATAGTTTAACAGTAATTTTACTTAGTTTCAAAATGTATGGGTAAATACCATATGATAGATTGTGATATAATTGTTATATAATGTATAGTAGCTCTAAGATGATAAGTAAGATAGTGTTATCTTCACGGTTTATCATTGTGGCTATCACAGATAAGTTTCTTTTTTTGTATATACATTGTATATACCTTGGGGTTATGCAATCATGATATGACAGGAAATTAAGGTCAGCTTGGAGACCAATTAAGACAAGAGGCCCATGGGCCTTAACGGTCACCTGATATATTTATACAGAGAGTTGATTTTTGTTTTTAACATGAACAGAAATATTATTCAAAGTGACAAAAAACAATAAAACCACCTTATTCAATATATAGCATGCAGATTTAATACTGAAAAGTATTTGAAACTAGCACCACTGACTCTAAACAAGGAAATGAAGAAAAAAAAAACAAACACACGGACTCCATTGGGCCCCACCCTACAGCCCTTGGGGGTAGGGATAGCTCAAAATTTTCAAATATCAAACTGTCAACTTAGGGTTATAATTCCAATCAAGTTATCAACATGTAATATTCAAAGTATCATTTCCATTATAAACAATAACAAATTTCCCCCCCCCCTCCTTCCCCAGGGGTAACCGTGATACCCTAGGGTCATAAAATTATTTCCAATGGCAATTAAACAAATGCTAGTCCAAAATGTGATTTCCCTATATAAATTATAGTAAAGTTTACCCCCTCCCCAGGGGGAAACGTGAGACCCCAGGGTCATGAAATTCACAATGTTGGTAAAGCACCCTAAGACCCTTCCATCTATGAAGAGCAATTGATTCTACCATATCTGGGTCTTGAGAAGAAGATTTTTGAAATTTCAGTCAATTCAACCCTTTTTGGCCCCACCCATCAGCCCCTGGGGGTCAGCCAGGGCTCATAGGTACATACTATCAAACTGCTACCTAATACTGATAATGCTAACCCAAATTGAATTACTTCCAATGGCAATTAAACAAATGTTGGTCCAAAATGTGATTTCCCTATATAAACTATAGTAAAGTTTACCCCCTCCCCAGGGGGAAACGTGAGACCCCAGGGTCAAGAAATTCACAATTTTAGTAAAGCATCTGATGACCCTTACATCTATGAAGAGTTTTTGATTCTACCTTATCTGTATCTTGAGAAGAAGATTTTTGAAATTTTAGTCAATTTTACCCTTTTTGACCCCGCCCTTCAGGCCCCTGGGGGCTGGGGACCATATAATTCACAATTTTAGTTGACCTTTCACCATGGAAGGTTTCTGAAAAAAATTCATTGAAGATGAGGGACCAAAATCACAAATGGTCTCTTTTTGACAAAACTGCATGTTATCTTTTGAAAGTTTCTTTATAATTGTGATGTATTGTGTATCAGTAGAGCTGCAAATAATAAAAATGGCAAAACAAAGAAGCACAGGGTTGATAAGTAGGTCACTGTGACCTTGTTGTATATCGGCTTAAATATGTCATTATTTGTTTTGCTAAATATAAATTAGAACCATACAATTATCTTACCAAAACTGTAGTTTTAAGTATCTTAACCAAATCTCATTAAATGCTTTGTTTAGATGTTTTTCAGGAAAATGATTTAAGGACTAGTTTTCGACAAAGGATTTAGACATTTCCAGGAAAGATTTCAGGGTTAATTATCAATAATATTATTCTTAAATAAGTTTCTTTCTGTTTTTAAGATTAAAATATTTCCATTCTACTTAATTTTTCGCAAAGGTGCTGGCTCTTGTTTCAGTCAGTTGTGAACGGTACATGAATACATTTATCCTATCCAGAAAGACGGTGTCCGATTTAGTGTAGATATTTCGATCATTCTCTGGGTAATAAGATGATACCAAGATCGCTTGATGAAGATTCTTGAATAAAATCATTTTTCCGGATTTTTTAAAAATATTTATAGGGCACTGATTTGTATAATTGTAGATTTTTTTTATTTGGAAGAATAAGTGCATACAGATTAGCATACAGTGTACATGGTAGTGATCGCTTCAAGCAATATTTGGTATACAGTAATGGTCATCATTAATTGTGCTAGAAGCATCAGTTACCTTGGTAGGGTTTGTAATAAGCTGCAAGTTATATGCAACATCCACGACCCTGATTTAAAACCTATAATGAAATCATCCATAATACCAATAATGTTTATAAAGACTCCAATTAAGTCAATGGACACTGCTTGTACATGTACTGCATTGCTATTATTAATATCACTATACCATTTGTTAACATTTACTACAAACGTTTGACATAGGTTTGACAAATATGACAGACTGTACAGACAGACTGTGCTCTCCGTAACATTTACTACGTACGTTTGACACGGGTTTGACCAATATGACAAGCCGTACAGACAGACTGTGCTCTCCGTAATAATTGCTACTAATTGGTACTGGGATAGAAGATATATTAGTGTATTATAAAATTGTTTTTCAAAATATATTTGGATGGTGTTGGTAGAACATATCTTCTCTATTTCGTTATAAAGCGGGATAACTCGTGTAAACTTTAAAGAATCGGAGGAAAATACAGATTATTGGATACTTATGTTGATAATACATGTATGAATAAGGTATAGTGTAAACATGTTTTGTAAGCTAATTTCAAAAAATCAGGGTCAATATCATATATGATCCAGTAGCTAATGATATCTCTATGTTAGAGCATTGGTGCTCAGCACAATGGATGGATAACAATCATGTTCTAGTCCTCATAAAATGGGGGATGATTTGCGAGATCCATATTGTAAGATTTATATTGTTAATGTTCGAGATATTTCCAAATTTCCAACTCTTATCCTACTATCAGTAGTACAGGAACATTGTTCAGATGTTCCCAAAAACGATTTTGTAAAGGGCTAATTTTAGACAAGGGTTTTAGATATTGTCAGAGAAGGTTACTGGGGTAATTATCAATTATTTATTTATTTTTAAACCTCTGTTGATAATATGAGTTAGGTATAGCGTAATAATAATCACGGTCTTCCTATTTTGTGCTATTCATTAATCTCATTTTTTTCCTTATTTATCTGTCAAAACCACAAAACAAGTGAAAAACAAATAAATATTGACGAATATATTTCCATGATAGAAAGTTGTATGTCGAAAGATGTCTGTCCTGAGTAAGGCATAACATGTACATGTACGTATCACAGGTTTATATATCACACTCTGTGTAGCATAATCAATTTATTCATGAGTAAATACTCTGTACAAACATGAAGATTTATTGAAAAATGTATGCAAGTTTATCTATTTTGTGTTTAAGCGGAGGATTGATCGCTCAGTACTGACACTGCAAGCCTGAACTTGTATCTGACTGTTAATTAATGAGAAATTGATATATACAGTGTACCGTATTGCATGAGGGCCTTCCGGACCTTTTTCATTCCGTAATATTGATCAACCAATTGTACCAAATCGCACATGTGTGCGGAGAGAAGCTCACAAAAGGGCGAACGATTGTTTAAAAAAATCGCACAGTTGTGTGCACCTTGTGTGGACGGTGTGTGCACGATGTATGCATGATGTGCGCACGCTATTTTTGGTGCGTTGTGCGGTCACACAACTGTAACATTAAGAAGTGTTAATTACAGTTTGTATAATGATACTTGTACACATTGTTATTTGGACAGTGCTTGAAAACGTAGTACAGAACTTGAATTAAAGTGAACTAAATTGAATACATCACAACATCCACATGGGATAAATATTTGTATAAACAACACCCACATAAAATAAACTACGAACAATACCTGTCAGTGTAGGATTTGTTATATCGATCACTATAACTTAAATCCATCAGCTCTAACTGTGATTTAAACGAGCGCACACCTATCCTTTCGTATGTTTCACTACATAGTTTATCGATCAATATAACGTCATTATAGGGTATCTTCAGACGCCAGCCGCCAGAGATAACCGTAGAATTTGTTTTGAAAACGTTGTAACCTGTTCTGATACCATTTGACGTTATTTCCTCCGAAATTGTCAGGTTATGTTCCACCTTGTCTGTGTTACTATTAGTTGTTGTTGACAAATTTTCGGTGACGTCATTAATGTTATTTGTGTGATTCATCACCGAATGAGTAATTCCTTTTGCGTATGAATTAATCCAGTCTTCTGTTTTCGGGTTAAACGGTAGTGACAAGTCACTGTATATTTTACGTAGAACTGTATCAGGTCTTTCAGCCAGACACTCGTATCTTAGTGGGTAAATCCGCCCTGGGTACACATCTTGTAACGCACGTACCTCGTCAATGTCACGAGACATTCTGTGACATAGTTGTTTAACATTTGGAATAAAACTCTCTTGCATAAATTCTCCTATGCTTCGACGGGACTGTAAAATCGCCCTGGGATCACGTATCAAATGAATAACCTTTAAATGTTTTATCTTTTCTAATATAGCCTTTGTTAGCTGGAGTGATATCCGTATGGACTTTACAACGCGTTGTTTAGACAAACGACACTTGCGCTCAAGGTATGCCGTGCATTTTGATCTGGTCTTGGACATGCGGTCAACAGTTTTCTGTTTTATTTTCCCGTAACGATGTTTCTTAAGCACAGGAAAACATTTCTCAAGTCTTCTATGATCTGCAAGCTGCTCAAATTTTGAAAATGAGTGAAGCACTTCCTCGGGTAGTGAGTCTAGTTTGCATTCAAATATATCTTTGAGAATTGAAATTGCAACCTCCGGCGGCTGGAGCTCATTGGTAAACATACTGAAACAGAAAACACGAATACGTATATACACTACATTACGTTCATGTGCTTTTAAACCATTTGGTAAGTTTTTATTGTGCTATATAAAAGGTTACCCTCAATCATTACTGTCAAGCATAAATATTAGGATGTTTTGGTTAATATTGATATGAAATCTCATCACAAAAAAAACTTTGAATTGTTGTATTGTCATTGGCCCTTATACAAAGTGATGCTAGAAGTACCTAGATATGATTTATTGATATCGTCCAATTCTTTTGTTATTCCCGCTTTCTGAAAACAAATTGGAGGTTGAATGCTTGTTAATTTAACGTGGCTCCACACACACCTGGTTGGTTAATTGGTATCCGTGTAATACCTTTGCTAAATATGGTTTGAGTTCGGTGTGCACACACATATTGGCAAATGTCAAGCAAAGTGTGATTGCAACGTAGTTTATATATTTACACATTTTTTTCGTAAACTTTGTGTTAAATTGGCAACCCATTTCTTATTTTGATTAATTGGTTTTCGTGCAATAACTCGCCTAAAACAGTTAAACTAGCCTATTGTTAAGTTTACTACAATGTAGCATCCCAAATTCATACATATTTAGTATTCGATTTTTTTTTTACAATTTTAGAAGCAAACCAAACAGTTATTTCTGCCTTTGACTCATCAAACCACTACATGTATAATAAACAACAGATAGAATGTAAATCCCACGATTTGGCTTGTTAATTCTAGTTTTTAGTAAAAACACCAAAATATGCATTATATAATTCTATATAAGGATCAATTTATTTACATTGTTCAAATTACAACAATTAAAGAACTTTTGATATCACACACGTTGCAATATGGCCTTGCAAAGTAAAATCGCATTTGTGACATCACGTGCGACAGAAGGATAAAATAAAACATAAACTTCAATGACTGGTCAATTATCACAACCATGGTTTATTCATCCATCAATCGGGATTCGTCGGCAATTCTTAACACTCCTCGTTCGATCGAATATGTAACCATAGTGACTTCGATATAATCTAATACAAATGATGTGCCGGATAACACAAAATGGTAAGGAGTAACAATTAAATGATTCAATGAGACGACAGGAACATGTTTTTGGTCACTATCTTTCAATAGTTTTTTTTTATATTAATTCGTTTTTGTTTCTTTCTAATGGCAACACTCAAATGTATGTGATTAGACTAATTTGTAAAGCGATAATGATGTTTGTACTTGTTACTTACCTACATCTATTGTCTCTATGACATACCCGTTCGGGTGTAATATACCCCTTTTTGTATATTTCCCAAAACGGTTCGAAGCTGTAGAAAGTATCATTATATCCCTGTTGTAATGACTCAGCCACGAAGGACGAACCACTTCTCATGTAAGTCAGGATCAAGATCTTTGTCACATTTGTAAATTTGCTCTCTAAACAAAATTGTAACACATTGTTTTATGTAACTGCATTTTAAACCATTTCTGTTGCAGCAATATACTGCTAAAATAATATGGCTCGCATGTATGTGCAAAACAAAATGTAAACATTAATATCGTCTATTTATACTAATTGATACGACCTACCAATTTATCAATGGTTGTCAGTATTGAGCTTCTTAAGATGTTGAGAAGGGCTAGTTAATCAACATTATCATTTGGTAGTGTTGTGGGGGGTTTTCTATTTCAAAAAAAATTCTACTCGCGTCAGTTGACGACATCATCTACTATGCATTTAAAAGCATTCCTCAAAATAATTTTCCGTAAAACCAACACCACTTTTACCCTAAGTTCCTACCACTTTTGTATAATATATACTGATGTTTCTCTGTCCGTACGAGATAGAATCCACTTACATTGCATATTTCAGTATTTCTGTTATACGTACGTTTGTCGCCATGGAAACGTTCTGTTACGTCATCTTTAGAAGATCTGTGCACCATTTCCACTGTCCTATCACTGTCCCTCTCCGCTTTCACAGAAATTAATGTAGAACGTCTGGGATAAAGTATCCCTACATATCACAAAAATACCGTTTTCATAATAGTTAAATAATATTGTATAAATGCGAATAAAATTATAACTCCATAACTTAGTTTAATAAACCAATTACATAGTATATCCAAAGATTACAGTTTTTAAAAATTATGATTACAAGAAATGTGAAAGGTTGTATATTTGTGTTTAATTTTTAAAATATCTGTAAGCATATTATACATGTAAACCTCTCTAAATTGCCTTTTGGTTCAAGTGCTTAACCTTCGTTGCATTATTTTGAATAAGAAAAGCACAAACAAACAAAAACGCACACACACATAACAAAATCACATCTAAAGTGTAAACAAAAACCGTGCTTCGAACTCTAAAATCGACGAAACAAGGACGAAACTTAGGAGCACAATGAGAATAGGACTAGATGTCCTGGAATGACAAGTGTCTTTAGCTTCATCAACGACATCCGCCAGATAAACAGAGGTTACACAACGAGTGCTTGTTGAATATGTTATTTATTCCACTCTCGTTAGTTGATTTTCAAAAGTTACAAAAGACACGAGCTTTAGCGAGTGTTTTTCTGTAACTTTTGAAAATTAACTAACGAAAGTGAAATAAATACTATACTCAACAACCACGAGTCGTGTGATCTGTTTCTACCACAATCTCAGTAAGAAACAGTTAGAGTGTGACCTGATTTGAATAACATACACACATGTGTTTGTTGACAAGGCTGGCGTAGTGATATTATCCAAGCGTGCGTCCTGCGTTCGCGCCACAAAAAGTGGATACTTGGGCGTAATTCTAACTGTATGTAAAAAGTCACTCATAATATTCAAAAATGAAAATTTGTTTACAAATTTAATAATTGTCAAAATAAATGTTGCAAATCATCTGACCACAAAGAAACAGTGGCTCAAGACCAACAAGACATTGTTGGAAATGACAGCATTTAGAAACGTGGCATAAAGAATTTATGTCAGGCATGCGCAGTCAAAGTAGGAATAATATCAGGCAGTCCAAGTAAGAATACTGTCAGGCAGTCCAAGTAAGAATACTGTCAGGCTGTCGAAGTAAGAATAATGTCAGGCAGTCCAAGTAAGAATACTGTCAGGCTGTCGAAGAGAGAATAATATCAGGCAGTCAAAGTAAGAATAATGTCAGGCAGTCCAAGTAAGAATACTGTCAGGCTGTCGAAGAAAGAATAATATCAGGCAGTCCAAGTAAGAATACTGTCAGGCAATCCAAGTAAGAATACTGTCAGGCTGTCGAAGTAAGAATAATGTCAGGCAGTCCAAGTAAGAATACTGTCAGGCTGTCGAAGAAAGAATAATGTCAGGCAGTCCAAGTAAGAATACTGTCATGCAGTCCAAGTAAGAATACTGACAGGCTGTCGAAGAAAGAATAATACCAGGCAGTCCAAGTAAGAATACTGTCAGGCAGTCCAAGTAAGAATACTGTCAGGCTGTCGAAGTAAGAATAATGTGCTTGCCTCCTTGTGATAGCGCGGATAGTGCTATTTCACTGAAATACCATGCCGAAGGCACCCAGTACAGCGTTCCACCCCGTCACATTATACTGACACGGGTGAACCAGTTGTTGCCATTCCCCTTAATGCTGAACGTTAAGAACGGAATAACAACTACCATTGTTAAGGAATTTGGTGTGTCCCGGACTGGAGATAGAACCCTTTGCTTTCCTCACCTGAGCGAACGCTCAACATTAATGCCAAAAGTGAGGTGTTGGCAAGCAAGGCGCTAGGAAATAAAAGTCTCTCTCTCTCTCTCTCTCTCTGTTCAGTGATGTCTTCTAGTGCTACAGTCCTCCTATGGCGTAACCCCTTTCACCACTGTAGACCATAGTAAACTCATCCAGATCAATACATGATAGAGTCTACTAATGTTACATAGGGGTGAAAGGGTTAAATGTAAAAGGACTTTAAAGCCCAATAAAACAATACATTTACATAACCTCCTTCTGGTCCCTGACAATATGACTTGTTGCACTTTCAATATGTATAATCGGAATGTGTCAACTTGAAGTGGATACATATAGGACACACATAGGCGAGTGCACCGTTAAAATTTGATACTACGGGTCAAAGAGGCTATAATCCAAACTGGTCTTAGCTACTGTTGAAAGAGATAGAAAACTGCATAACGTGCACAGTACGGTTATTTTATTGGCAAAATGTAACTTCTAAATCCATTCACGTGTACATGCCACAGAAAATCATTGTTATGTCCAGGTGGTATATTTGTTCTATATGTGGTAATATCAGTACATTGCGCAACAGGAACCTCCAATAGCCTATAAAGCTGAAATCAAATATTAGCAACTAAGTAGACACGACACATAACACAGTCCTTTACACCTCATGTGATACGGCACTCTCTAACTGAAATCATTGCATCAGGATTGTACAGCGAAGACATTCTTATTTATAATGAAGGTTTACTTACATAATCCAATGACTGACAACATCAGGATCACAGCTAACTTCTTCCGATGACGTAGTTTGATGACTGTCCTCATTACCGACGACTACGTACGTTGTGTCCAGAACTCCTGTCTATGTCGAGTTTTACAATTACATGTGTCAACTAGGTGGCATGTTATCAGTAAACTCACGATGGACAGAAATAAATCTTAAATTGTGGTAGAAAAGATTTGAGATATTTTAAAGTTGTTATATGTATAAACGATATGTTATGTAAACACAGATGAATTGATGAACGTTGCTATACCTCATAATGAATGGTACGGCATGTACGCAATGTAGTGCTGTTATCAGCATGTTTGTACTACAATGAGTTTACGTGTGTGACATAGCAGGTCGACCTGATAAAGATATCTTATCAATACTTAACAAACTCAAGACTGTAAATAGACAAGACAGATATTCTTTAAATCCTCTTATAAGAATTTAACATGTGCATTTTCGTTTTCTACCATAACTTGATTGTCAACAAGAATCTCACATTTTTGTATCCATATTCAATATCTTAATCATCCACGTAACGTAAAGGTTTAAATAGTCGAATAATTGCCAAACCAGGCCACAAGAAAACAAATAAATGTTGAATGAAAATCTAAACATCTCAAATGTTGAAATGGACGCAGTAGATATAGTTTGGTCGTTTTTGCCGCCCCAAGTAAAGGGCACAAAGGTAAATGCACATTTCCACAGGGGGTTCCAATACAATTTGCCTCTTACAACAGTGGGTAACAGTTTCTATAACTGAAGAGTCTATACAAGTAAGAGAATCTGATAATAAAATTGGATCCAGCAAACTAGTACTAGTAATACCTATCCTTGTAGGTTCATTTATAACATTATTTAAATTAAAAGTATCAATAATGTCTGCAAATATATGGCCCTGAGACATTGTTAGCAAATCTACATTTAAATCTCCTAACAAAATAACATTTCTTGATAATGATAGGTGTATGGCGTTGTTTAGAGAAACACAAAGAATATCCCAAACTCGATTGGTATCGTGATTAATAGAGAGATAGGCTGTTTCTATTATAATTTTCTTTTCATCAGGAAGAAGTACTTGTATCCACATAAATTCAAAGTCAGGAATTTCATAATCAGTCCGCCTTTCAACTTTTAATGCATCATTAGTGTATACTAATATACCAACATGCAACATTTCTGTCAGGTCTAAAAGGGGAGTGAAACCCATCAATAAGCAATTCACTTGTAGGGACTGTAGCATCAAGATGTGTTTCAGTAAGACAAATTACATCATACTCACTTGCAAAGTTTTCTACTTATTCTATTTTATTCCGAACACTTCTGATATTTAAATGAACAAGAGGCCCATGGGCCTTAACGGTCACCTGACATCCGATTCAAATTAGGACTGTCATCCAGGGGCCAATTCATACTTTTCGTCGGTCTGAGTGACGTTGCTGCATCGTCCATTAATTTGTCCTTGTGAACACAATAACTTCAGTAAATATAAACCGATCTTGATGAAACTTTGTATGCATCTTTGTATTAATGAGATCTTGGATGAGTTTGAATACCGGACCAATTTGACCATAACTTACATAGTTATTCCCCTTGGTAATTCTATTATTGTTGGACCCTGTGAACACGATAACTGAAATAAATGGGTGTGACTTCAATTTTGACCCAAGGGGGCTGTTTTGAACAAACTTGGTAACTGTATGTCTTCTGTCCTTGGTTAAAAGAAACAAGTGAAAGCGTAAATCAATGATTTTATTAAATAAGGCACACAATTTTAATAGCACCTTGTTTGTAGCAAAAATGCGTCATGAATGAAAAAAAAGGTGTACCACATGAATTTACATCTATTCTTGTGTAATGTCAATCAACATCACAGGGACAAATAATAATATAACGACAAAGGGCAATAACTCTGCAGGTTACCGTCAAATAATTACCGGACAAAGTTTCATTGAACTCCGTCAACATTTATTCAAGTTATCGTATATACAAGGTCCAATAAAAATATTATTATAAAGGGCAATAACTCTGGAAGTTACCGTCGAATTATTCCCATTTTCGAACTCGTCCGAGATCTTTTTGATATAAAGCCACATACAGAGTTTCATCAAACTTGGTTGATATTTACTCAAGTTATCGTGAACACGAACAAGGTCCAATACAAAATAGTGTAATAATATTATTACAAAGGGCAATACCTCTGTAAGTCACAGTCGAATAATTCCCATTTTCCAAATCATCCGAGACCTTATTGATATAAGGCTGCATACAAAGTTTCATCAAACTTGGTTGATAATTACTTAAGTTATGATGTTCACAAGGTCCAATAATAATATTATTATAAAGGGCAATTACTCTGTAAGTTACTGTCGAATAATAACCATTTTCCAAATCATCCGAGATCTTATTGATATAAGGCCGCATACAAAGTTTCATCAAACTTAGTTGATAATTACTTAAGTTATCATGTTCACAAGGTCCAATAATAATACTATTACAAAGGGCAATAACTCTGTAAGTTACCGTCCAATAATTCTGATTTTCGAACTCGTCCGAGATCTTATTGACATATGGCTGCAAACAAAGTTTCATCAAACTCGGTTAACATTTACTGAAGTTATCGTGTTCACAAGGTCAAATAATAATAATATTACAAAGAGCAATAACTCTGTAAGTTAATGTCGAATAATTCCCATTTTCGAACCCGTCCAAGATCGTTTTGATATATTGCTGCATACAAAGTTTCATCAAACTCGGTTAACATTTATTCAAGTTATCGTGTTCACAAGGTCCAATAATAATAGTATTACAAAGGGAAATAACTCTGTAAATTTCAGAATGGAAGATAAATACATATTCAATAAGCTTACAAGACTTGTCAAACTATGTTTGAGGGCACTCTTGAAATAGGAGAATATTGTAAAGTAGGAGAGGAAAAAGAGAAAATATTTTAAAATACATCTACCAGTAAAAAGTACCGATTGCCACTCTGTGCGACATATAACCATTACCAATTATCAAAGATGTAAAAAATAGTTTAGGAACAGGGAAACCATCTGAAATACTAATTTAAGGCGCAGGTAATAAAAGATGATATAATTTGAAGAAGCCAATTTCATTTGATTTGTCATCTCAATATAAATTCATATTATTTTGAGAATAAATCAATAAAAGAAACAACCAAAACTGAATTTATATGATTTATTATACATGTAGTTCATGCCTAATATCATCTTTTTAAACAATAAACGTTATAAATAGGCTTGCGTAGCTGAATCCTATATTAATGAAAGACAATTACCATACACGATATATAATACTTTAAGTACAGCAACGATGTATCCAGCAGTCTCATGCCACACAAAATAAAGACAACATTTCTGGTTTGTAGCCAGTAATTCATAGGATATGTAAAACATATAAACTTATAACCTGATATTCATAAATTGTTAATATATGAAAATAAAAATAAAGCAGTGGAAAATTATAATGTCTCTTTAAAATACGCACAATAAATACTCTACTGTAGGCCAAGATAAAAGGGCATATGTTGGAAGAGAAAAACCTCAAAAATCCACTTTCTCATTTTTATTATATTATCATATACTGAACAAAAAAAGAAACGCACAATTAAATTATGCAATCAATAGCCTATGATATTTTGGGAAATTTGTACAAAATTTCATATCAATATGAAGGGACAAGTCTACTCTTTACAATACTGTAGAGGAAAAGTCTGTGTGACGTCACTTGTGTCATCAGAAGTTACTCAAAGTGGGATACCCGCGAAAAACCAAATGACACTTCAGTACCTGGTGTGGGCACCTTTTGCACGAATCCCTGCACGGACTCTCCTATGCATTGANCGGATTCTCCTATGCATTGAATTCATGAGAACATTTATTCGCCTTAAGGGAATGTTGTTCCATTCTTGTGTTAATGCTGCGATCAACTGGGCGCGGTTAGTTGGGGGGGTTGACGTTTCCTAATACGCCTGTCCAGCTCATCCCACAGATGCTCAATGGGAGACATGTCGGGGCTATATGGGGGCCATTCCATAGGCTGAACGTTGTTTGCCGTGAGAAAATCACGACAGACTCTGGCAACATGCGGTCGGCCATTGTCTTGCTGGAAAATTAGGTTGTGAGAAATGGAAGGACATGTGTTGGAGGATCCTGTCTCTGTATCGAACGGCATTGAGGTTTTGATCCAGGACCACTAAGGGGGATTTTACTCCATGGGAGATGCCTCCCCAAACCATTACAGAAGCCCCACCGAATCCATCGCGTTCAACCATGCATGCGTCGGCGAAACGCTCACCGCGTCTGCGATATACCCCTTTTCTTCCGTCTGAGCGATACAGACAGAATCTAGACTCGTCGTACTCCCATAACATGAGAGGCCGCTGGTCGGCCTTTTTTCAATCGGATATGATTTTGCCGACTGCGACCTCTCATTTCCGAAGCACTATAATTATTTGATGCAGTTTCCGCCCGAAATCCGGGCAGAACAAAATCGGCTTGAAAAACTCACTTAAGTGGTTAACAGTTCATGACAACGATGTCTACTCACGGTTTATATAATATAGATCTCATATGTATGTCACAGACACAAATATATAGTATATTACGGAATAGAACACTCAAAATCGTTGTAGCACATCTCACCTACATTTAAAACATGGCTCCTGGATAAATACAAAATAGCAGGGGGGATTTCAAACGGAACGAAATGATACGGATTTGTTTGTATTCCGCTTGTGCAAATATTTAAACAATAACTGGTTGTCTGGAGGTAATTATTGTTGATATAATTACAAGTGGCCTCTGGGAAATCCCACAAAACCCGCTAGGGTTTTATCGTAGATTTGCCAGAGGCCACTTTTAATTATATCAACAATAATTACATCCAGACAACCAGGTATTTTTTATATTTCATATTTTTCTTTTTTAAGACATATGCATATTCCTACAAAACCCATTTGCCCTTCTTCAAAATACATTTCAGGCGGCCTATTTGTTTGTTAACATATTTCTACACCTGAAACAGGCAGTTGTAATTATAGTCGAGAAGTTGTAATTATAGCCTATATAATTACACTTGCCCTCTAACACTGTTGTAATGGGACGGCACGGGGGCAAATGTAAATATTGCATTATGCGCAGCAAATGTATTGTTGTCGTATTTGTTTCCCCAAGGAGAGGACACAAAAGCAAATTCCAAGATCTGCATGCGGCTCCCACATTAGTCGTCTCTGACGAATCATGCAGTGGGTTACAGCAGGTATGTCCGTTTCT